CAAAGATTATCATACGATTAAACTTCGATAACTGCACATTGTTTGTAAATTAAAAAATTTTTAACTCCAGACAGTTTAAAAAAAACTAAATGAGTTTGATTCTGTAGATGCTTTAAAAATTGCAAGATGTGCAAAATGCACCTTGCAAAATGCAGTTAAAATTAATATATCGCAATGCGTGAAATCGCTGATTGAGATTAAATAAATTTGTAACGCGCTAAATAATCCTACATTGAGATCTCCCTTCAAATATGGAATACGTTGCGGATAATCGATAATTGCAATTATTGAATCTATCAACAACTGTCTGGAGAGTATTCTTTTTATTGTGAATATCGGTAGTTGAGTGTACGAGAATTTTCGCTACTTGATAAGAATGTTGCAAGCGAGTCTCGTCAACCGGTATGAACGTCGTAAGTATCGAGATGAGAAAGATAATAAGAGAATCGATAGCAGGCCAGAGATTCTTGATTTTCTATAGGTCAAGTGACACCTCTACCTTTGATCTCGGCGATGTGTGCGTCGTACTCGCTTCTGCTGCGCACGTACTCGATTCTCGCGGCGACATTCTGGAAGCTCTGATTGCGATATTCGGCGTACCATTCCGAGGGCGGCCGTTCGTCCGCGCCCAATTGCTGGACTCGAGGACTGCTGCTTCTTCTCTGCAATAGGCTCTCTTCTGAGGGGAACCTCGTGAAAGAGGTGACCGAGCTGGACTTACTGCCGTGACTCTGCACGCCGTGACTATGACTCTGATAGGCCGAGTCCTCGTGGATGTGCTCCTCGCTAGGAGTTCTGCTTGATTCTGTCAAGACACGCTGCTGAACAACCGCGGTGTCGCCGTTAGTACTATCCGAACTGATCGCATGTACGCTCTTCCTCACGGTGATTTTTTCAAACTTCACGACCTTAGCGCCGTTCAATTCGCCTTCCTCCACCAATCGCTCAAAACTCTCCTCGAAGGAAGAATCACTTGCCCTGGAAGACGGTCGCCGGTGTGTTGGAGACCGGATAGGTCTGCGCGCGTCCGAGTCTTCCAGGAGATCCTCGGTACTGGGACTACGTCCAGTCGACCAGACCTGTTCGAAAAAACTCACCCGGTCCCTTAGCCGGGTACCACGTGGCGTTCTCGGACTGCCGCTACCATCGGCGCCGCCACCGCCGGGGCTATCTACCCTCGGCGGTGTTGGACTACCTTTGGGTGGTGTTGCCCGCGACATATTCGTGTTCTTTTATCTCATTATTTTTTTCCAAGAATCATCAATCGGCATGTCACGTTCATTGAGTCCGCAGGTCAGTCCCGATTCTTCTTTCTTCCCTTCCCTCGTCCTAATTTTATGCTTGAGAACTCTTTAACACCTGTTCTCCGAACACCACACCCCTTACACTAGGTTGCATATGCCGCATCCGCGTCACCTGCTTCGTTTTAATGACTGTCAAGAACGTACGAGTAGTTACAGGTGCGTCAAGTCGTCCTATCAATCGAATCGGCAAACTTTAACCCTGCTTGCGAATATATCTCGGGTTGATTTTCTGTCAGCACCCATAACGGCGGAATGCGCACCTACGTATAGTTTGCGTTGGAGGCGCGCGCATGGAATGTACGAATACGGAATGTATACGATATGGCCGTGCGCGACGGGCGCCGGTTCGATACTACCGGCCTGTCGAGACCTCCTCCTTTGGTCTCCTCCACCTCGTACCGCCGCCATTCCCACTTGCCCGACGATAATGACGCGACGCGGAGAGACACGGGACAACAAGCAATGCCGGTACCAAAGACAACTCGACCACGGACCCCCTCCGAAGAAAAACTCGCGGTCCCGGGATCCTTTTCCCGTTCGATTGATTAATCGAACCCTCTGTCCTGCCTCTTTCTTAACTCTTTTGGCCCGCTTGGTTATCTACGATGTCAGCCGGCTCGTCGACCGTCAATGCGGTCGCTTCAGGTGCTGCCTCTCTCACGAGGGGAAACTCCGGACGACTTGAATTAATCAATGATTATGCGGTTATAAAGCATTGTTGTGGCATGTGGATTTGACATAAATAAGGAGCATTTTGATATAATAAATATGTAGAAACGAGATATGTAGAAATTTTTTCTGAAAATAATACATATATTTTACAAGATTATCTCTTAAAAATTTAAGATTCTAGAGAGAACAAAGAATTGAAAGAATTATCATCAGAGGAAAGTGGCAGAAGTTCATTAAGAGCTTTAGTTGTTTTTCCTGTAGAATCTTGTACGTTAATCCTTACTAAGTTGGAGTTAAAATATAGTGAGATAAATATCAGCACCAGGAGACGAAATTAGAGTAGTCTAAGTCCGTTTGACGTTGCGGCATAAAAAAGAAGATTAAAGGTCTTAAGAGATAAAAATATACTCGAAGTTGCACCAAACAATCCATAAATCTCAGGAGGAATTGATTCAAAAATTTAAATCATACAGGAATAGGATGGTTTTACAATAAAATATCTAAAAATTTAGCTAAATACAAATCTGAAAATCATTTGGTTCATTAAAATAACTATATAGGACGCTCAAACCGATCAATAGAATGTCAAAACCTTTTTGCAGCATTGCCTATCATATTTGATATTTCTACGTAATTATTTTGATGGCCCAATAAGATTATTTTCAGATCTGTGTATCTAATTAAATTTTTAAATACTTTAGCGAAAGTTTTTTCCGTGTATATTAATCCACTGCAAATATACTTTATTAGTATATATAATGTAAATATGGGAATAATCAAATTACATTACGCGCGCAGTTGCGTCACATTAAAGCAACTAAGTGCGCATGAGCGATAATTATACGATTGTCTGATTACTTCGCGGATTAAAAGAATTATCATGTAATCGTCCATAGTCATGCTGCTTCTAGCGAGCAATCCTTTTTGCTAATAATCGATGTAATAGTAGTACGATTTCCTTAACACGATCATTAATGTCATGAACTACTCATCAGCTCCATTCACAAACATCGTTCTGACATGTTGTAATCTACGGCAAAGCGGTCCCCGCAATTACAGAGCATCCCGCATCTTAATCGGACACGCGATATCCAGCGTGCGATCATCAACTTGTACATCAAGTAACCTGGCGTTGAATTTAATTGGTCAGCGAGATGTCAATTTCATACACATTTATCTCCCTGAGTCGTGAATCCGTTCACATAACCCACGAGATTTATTAAGCACGCGTGAAGCATGCGCAAGCACGCGCTACAAATTTTAATGAGCGTGTTACGATCTATTAATATCCAAATTTCAATTGACATCATTTTGTCAAAACATTTTGAAACTTGATAGTAAAGAATTTAAATAACACTTTAAATATATGAAACATCATTAACTTTATATGAAGAATAACTAAATTTCTTTAAAAGAGAACTTTTTTGTCAAATGTTTTTTAAAAGAAATTTAATGATGTCTTGAATCGATCAGGTCGGAGCATGATTTCTGGGACATTTTGTATATGTATATGAATCGAGGACTTTGAACATTGTGTTATCAATCTAACGAGGTGATTCGTTCAGCCGGGGCCGACAGCGAAGTGTCGCTGACAGGAAAAGCGAACGTAACGATTGCGAATGGCGCGGCAGGTGTTCGTCATGTCTATTTATAACTCGTTCACGTCTTCGCGGATTCTATCCTATTTTCCCTTACACCACAGCACAGTTTGATTCGAGTATGCGAGACGCACGACGCAACGTCGCGGTCCGTTGCGCAAGAAGCGCAGACGAATTACGATCCTGCAAACGCATATACCGCAAGTAACGATGTGTCCTCCTTCTACATTTTTTGCGATCAATTCAGATCTGCAAACAAGGAAATCTGATTTCCAGATTTTCTGTACAAGTACATATACAGGGTGTCCCGCAATTATTGACATAGCGCTCTTGTGTGGATAGAACGGACTAAACTGACGAGGGAAGTTTCACAACTGTCCAGAACCGATTTAATTCTCCATGAAATATGTTATTAAACACGAAAATCTAAGAGAGAGAGACACGTATTTTTTTATACGTGCCCTAACTTACGTGTAAGGGGTGTTTCACCAAACATGAGTTAGGGCACGTATAAAAAAATACGTGTCTCTCTCTCTTAGATTTTCGTGTTTAATAACATATTTCATGGAGAATTAAATCGGTTCTGGACAGTTGTGAAACTTCCCTTTAAGGTTGAAAAGTCCTCTACCATTTTCCAATTTTCGCAATAATTAACAAGATATTAATTACTAAAAATCACCGAATATTAGTTTTCAATAATTTTTTCCTCGAGTACTATAAACTTTACAGAAAAATAGCAAGGGACAAAAATTGTTTATTTTCTTCTCATAGAGTTCTGCGAATTTTTTCAGAATAGTGCTTTGTCAATAATTGCGGGACATTCTGTATAGATATATATTTTCGTTTCTAAAAATGATTGGGTTAAAAGCAGAAAAAACAGCTTTGCAACTGTTGTAACCAATGATTAGTATGACTTATGGTTTCTTAAATAATTATTGTTTTATAAAGAAATATAGAAAATTTAAAATTTTAATCTTATTTCTGATCATATTGACTTTTATTTTCAAAATACTAAGGAACTACATATTTCATTCGTGTGGAATTTAATATATTAATTTCCGCGACATATTAAGATTAGCTTCATGAATAAAACGCAAGAAAATTAAAGAAGAAATAAGTTTCTAATAGTAATTTCTCTAATAATGGAAATCGACAAGTATTTTACGGTTTTCTTGCGATATGTTTATAGACACGATACACAATCTTAGCACTTACATCCCCATAGTCGAAATTTGCGTGAGCAACAACAACGCTTCGTGATTTGGATCGCGAGATAATCTGTAATTAAGGGTTATATAGGAGAATGTGAGTAAGGATATGTAAGTAAGGAAAATATGAATAATGGTAGTCCATTGGGCGCCCTGTGACGTGACCAATACGATTTCATCGCAAAACGAATCGATTTCTTCGATTTCATAAAACTTACCCTGCAACTGTTGAATGGTAGCTTGGTACTCGGCGAGTTTTTCGTCCACGTAATCTTGACTTTGACTGGCGATGATCTCGGCTGTGCTGGGACCGCTACTTTCCTCGTCCGTCTGCGTATGGTCTAAGGGTACGCCAATATACTCGTAATCCCCTGGTCTGTAGGGTGCTAGGAGATATTCCGGTGGGGCGCATGGTACCGGTGATGCCGAATCGCTTCTGAAAGAAGCGCTCTGCAAGTTGGGAAGAAAGACATTTTAGCGAGTCTTACGTTATTTGCTGCATATGCTGAGATCTTTATCAAAAATTTTGACAAAAACTTCATTATTTTTTTTATTAAATTTTACTTGAAATAAAGTTTCATTTTTTTTTTTTTTTTAAGAAGGAGAACAAAGAGGAAATCCTTTAAAACTACTTGTGAATATCTTAATTATTAAGAATGATTTCAAAATGTGTATTTTTAATCTATTACATCTGGATGCACCTTTTGTACTAACATAATTTATTTGTGTTACATTTTGGATTATAGACACTCGAGTTTAAATAAGCCTATACGAATACTGTAACACGCAATGTGGACATACGTTAACGACACATTACTATCGATCTGTCATCCCTCGTGCTACAAGAACACATACCTGCGTCGGTATGAATGGCCTTGGCACTTGATGACTACCCGTAGGAATCGGCGAAGGCCACCGTGGCCTTGGGCACTGGATGTAACCAGAAGTCGGATAGCCGAAGACGGGCGACATCCCGGGTGAGATTGGCATTCCGATCGGCACCGGGCTCATCGGATGCATCATTATTCCGGGATAGACAAGTGGTGACATAGGATGAGCTGGATGGACCGGAGTCGGAGGCCCGCGGATTCGTCCTTGCGGATACGGCGATGACGAAGGTGTATATGGCGAAGCGGGCCTGAAGGGACTCGGCGCCCTTGGTGCATTAGATCGTCCTGACCAGCTACCCGGAGGCACATGACCTCCTCCGGGTGGCCTCGACGGATGCTGTTGCGACATTTCAGATCACTTCAACTGCTCGCCGCGTCGCCTCGTTTATAGGCTAGCATCGCTATAAGTAAGAGAGTGATTCAATTGGTCTTTAATTATCTGAATACCAAATAACAATAGAATCGTGCTCTCAGTTCTTATATGCAAATTTGTATTAATTACACATTTTTGGTTGCAACAATCGCTTATGTATGTTTATTGCTAATTTTGTCTGGAAAGAACAATTTTGCTAAAGTATATAAAAACTTAGATATAGATCTGAAAATAATTTTATTCCCATCAAAATAATTACGTCGGAATGGAATATCAAGCATCATGAGCAATGCTGCAAAAAGGTTTAACATTCTAGCAATCAGTTTAACTATTCTATTGTACATAATTAATTAATTATTTTGATAGTCCAACAAAGTTATTTTCAGATCTGTATCTAGCTAAATTTTTAGATGCTCCAGCAAAATCATCCTTTTTATAGACATGACATTTACATTAGATAAATGATAATATTGCCACGTTACATAATCATGCCGATTTTATAAGCTAAAATAATCCTAATATTAATTGATTTAATAAAAAAATTAGAAATATAGTTAATTATTACTTGACTTATTTTGGATATATTTGTCAATAAAGTTTCAATCACGTTCTATATTGATAAAGTAGCGGAATATCATTCCATTGAATACAAGCATTTAGAACGATTGCATTTTAGAACGAGACACAATCTGACGTTTGATTGACATTTTTAGGAAAACAAAAAGTCTACGAATGAACTTTAAGAGACTAAATGAACTCTGGGTCGCATAATAGCGTCGGCTATTCGACATGGCACATGGCCAAAAGTTTCTCGAAATAGGTGAGTACTGTCGTACGTATGTACCTATGAACTCTTGCACACTAATGCAGAAAGAAGGTATCTACGTATAATTATCAAAATATCAGAGAGAATGCGGGCACGCGAGAGAACGAATAATCGGAGCGATATAGAATAAACAAAAATCACGACTCCAATCAAATAAAATAATCAGATTTATTTCAACCATACGTAATTTAGATATAATGTAACGTTAATTTCGAAAATATCTGTCAGTTGTAACAATAAGTGTATTCTAATATAGGCGCTTTGTATTTTCGAAAGTATATCGAGAAACATTTCGACAGATTTCGGTCGTAGAGTTCGTTGATACCAAAAATCTTGGCAACTGGAAACGGCAGTCTATATCTATTCAATTTCGGTGTCTATTTAACTTCGGCCAGACGCATCGAATGTGTCACGCTCTTCTCGGTCATAATTACCGTTTTCGTCATATTTGTACATATTTTTTTAAACGAATTTAGAAAAAATGGTTTTCTTCTATACAATTATTATTTTATTATTACTAGATCGAATAACAATGTTAAGATTTTCGAATTGTCTTCACTTGAATGTATGTTTCTAACGACACATGCACTGGCAACGAGAGGTATTTCTCGGCCTCCTCCCATTGTTTCGCCAAGTCATTTACGTGCCGTAAAATCGAAAGAGGAAGTCTGTGTGCTTTCAACGCGTGTAGACGAAAAGTCTTAAGCTTTTTAGTTAGATACCGAGTGTAGGCTGGTTAAATATAGCGCTATTTCTATTTTCGATCATCACGGCGTTTATACACGCGCCCGACGAGCCGGCAGGTATATTCGCAATGACTGCGTCGGATATTTCGGAAACTGACACGGATATTAACAGCTGTAATCGCCTATCGCGGTCGCGCCGGTTTGACCACACACGTGGAGTGCGAACAATCGCTTCACTAATGTAATCCCGAAAATATCCCGTCGATATAATGGTCGATCTCGCAAGTAAATCTTGAAAGATGTCTTTTTTGCAATCTGCTGTCGTTCGAAAATGATTTTCAACTGGTTATATTCCAAGAGCGCAATTGGCATAAACTAGAATGTAAAATATAATGAACTTGAGACTCCAAAGAAGTATGTTTCCATTGTCTAGATCTTGTAACAAAACTACGCCTTGCGTAGTGCTAGTTTGTAATTTAACAGTAATTTATATTGTTCTTTGAGAGTTTATGAGAATCTGTCGGGACATTCATTCTTTTCTATGACATTCGGTTTGTACCTCATCTATGTACGCGCGTGCATAACATCACCTCTCTGTCATAATTCCAAGGTATGTATTAGCAATGTAAAATACGAAGAACTAATAGAATAGTAATTGAAGCACTAATTTTGAAGAATATGGTAAAAAGAATATAGCTAAAGTAATTTGTAATCGATCCAAATCCTTCTAATCGATAGAATTAAAAATATTAATGTTAGAATCGTGAGAGTAGCAGCGTTTTGCTCGCTGTTTAAAACACCGAGATCTTGATCTCGGTCACGCAAGGCAAAACGAAAGCCAAGGAGATCTCAGTCAGATCGCTGGAAAATTTAGTGCGAGGACGGATCAACGGGCAGTCGAATATTAGCGGCATACTGGATCCTGGACCTCGGATGCTGCGTCCAAAAATAAGATCTCTCTGCTGAATTGATGATCAGAAATAGTTGGCGTTCGGAATGGATGCTGATAAAATTGTCCGATTTGTCAGTCAGTAATTATTATTGGCCCTCACCCTCATCAACCTCATAACATCGGCGATCATGCAATAAACGCAGATTCTACGTACTGTTGAACGAGCTTTGCAATAACTGAACTTTGATGCATATCAGGTTTATTCGTTGCACTTGTCTTCAAGAATATCTCAAGTCGATTCGTTAAACTTGACTTTGCACATATAAATCATTACGGAAGATTATCTGTTTATTAAGTTTTTAGATGAATCTAGTAATTCGAAATTTTTTAAGAAAGAAATCGAAAAATGCTCTTGATAAAAGGAATGTATTGAAGCGCTATTGGAAATTATTCTGGTCAATATGTAATTTCACTTTCAACTTTGTTTAGCAAATTCTCATTATAATAAAACAAACTTTTTGTATCAATCTAATAATGCATATGATGTTAAAATTGACACACGCGACTTGTTTTATTAACGTCTATCATGATGGAGCACAAACCAAATCCTGAAATCTCAACATATTAGTAAATAATTAACTAGATTGAAATTACTATGATATGACGATTAATGAAATTTGCTAATGTTATTACGATATGACGATTAATGAAATTACGCAACCATCTGTAAATCATCACATATTCAAGCAAACAGCCACCCACGCGAATTGCAAATACATAAGACGTTCCAAGACCCTTAATCATAATTTTAACAATATAAATTCTATATTTTACTTGCTTAATTTGTCGAAAATCTTAACTTTAAATTTTTTAATTTCCTACAACTCAAGAAATCGGATTTACAACACTGTAAATAAAGTAAAGTACTACAAAAATTATGATTGAATATCTTGGGTACATGTAACACAAATTACCGGCAAATCCAGGGAATTCTTGATACGTTTCAACTGACGATCTTAATGGCCGATCGATTTTCATTAATTGAAATTAAATTCTACTCTGAAAAACACACTTTGTTGCTCCGCGATCGTTGCGGATTCACTACGAAATTCGCGGTCGAGGACTGATCATCGAGCGAGAAATTTGATCGATATTGATTATAGATCGAGGTAGTAGTGAAAGAAAAGAGAAAAAAGAAAGGAAGAGAGGACAATTTCTATGCCGGATCTCGCGTCGCGAACCACAGAGAGACTGGTCCCGGCGCTGGATCATCGATCCAGGATGGGCGTCGCGACGCTCTCTCTTTCTCTTTCTCTCTCTCTCTCGCGGCCCGCATTTATATTTAACTTTGGCATCACTCGACATTCGACTTAGCAGCACTGCTCGTCCTTTCCTCCTCGCCCTCCAACAACGTTGCCCTCGTTCTCACCTCCTGTTCTCTTCTCTTCTTTCGACGGGCTCACTTCTTTTTATTCGTTCCACCCCGCGTCGTGGACGCGGGTGCGAGATGCTGGTGCCACGCTATTATCACCGATGAGCCAACGGCCATCGCTCATCGATAATTTTGGTCGTTCATTACGAAAATATATCCAACGACGCACAACTGAATAACAATCAAACGTACTTGCGGAAATGATTTTGCGGGACGACGACCTGATCGTCCTACACAGTCGTCGTGAATCTTTCTTTATTAAGGTGTAACAGAAATGTGCCAGATTCTAAACATGATATTTACGTATCAAAAAAGATTATGTATGAAATAGAGGAAAATTTGCAATATTGCGATATTTTTTAATGATATAACTAATTATTTTTTATTATATTTCTTATTCTTATATATGATCTTTTATGTATATATATATATATTTATATATAATAATTTAACTGTGTACGTGTTCACTTAATTTATTGATCAATGAAACATTACAATTAGAAAAATGCAGTAGATATAAATATAATCATAATAAATATACAATTTGGTTAATGGGACAAATTATTTAATATTATTTATATAAATTGTGTTAAAAATATACCACGTATAATATATTATTATTATATCTAATATAATTATATCTAATATATATTATATATACATATATATATGTATATATACATATCAGGGTGTATCAGAGCTACCGCAGGGGCCGGCACGTACATATTCCTCATGAAAAAGTAAATCGAAAATGTTAATAACAAAATCTTAAGGCATCAATAGTTTTCAAACGGTGAGCATTTGAAAATAACCAATCACAGGACATGAAATTCGCGCCGTCAGGAACGGCGCAACTAAGCGGTCGGCTACTATAAAAATTTTTGAAACATTGTCTAAAATGTAATTTTCAATAATATTATAACTTATTATACATATACAATATACTTGCTAACTTCGATTTCTTCACTGTATTACTTCCCCTTTCTCTCCTATCATAATTCGGAACTTCGTTTCATTTTCTAAATATGAAATATTTATATCAAATGTTGATGCAATATTGTATTACAAATAGCTAAAATAATATAAAATTCAAAATAGCTAAAGTTAAAGATATAGATATACACGATTCTTATATAAAAGAAATCAAATGCTAATACAATATTACCATTATTTTCTATTATACTTTTCTAAGCTAGAGACTGCATGCAACATCAGAATCCGTAGGAACAGCTGTTATGCTATCGATAGTGACCATTAATAAAAACCATTAAAGTGAGTATCAAGTCATTGTAATGGAGAAATTTGCTGCAAATATTTGATAAAAAATAGTAAATTAACAGTATCTGACTGCATTAAATTAATAACACTCGAATATACAATACGATGAACGATATTAAAAGAAAACTACATATCTTTCAATGTAATTAACATCGATATGTACAAAACTTTATTCAAATAAAATAATATTAACAATAAATTAGATACCGAAAATTTTCAAAATTTCAAATGCACCTAACTTTAAGAAAACTACAATTATATGACGAATTCTCGTAAATTTATAGAAACTTGCAGATAATTTTACTTGAGAAATTGATAATAATTGATAATAATCTATCAGTAGGTCTACTTTTTCTGTTTGTGGATATCTCGGAAAAGATATGAATGATCGTTTATTTGATCTAAATTTTTTACCTGCACAAAAACATTTTACAAATATAATTTGGTATGATATGATATAACATTTTTCTATTGATATTTATTTAAAACAAGTTATCTAAAAAATTTTTTTCTTGGTTTTAGAATACAAAAATTTGATTAAAAGATAAAGATTCAAAATGATAGATCCAATCTAGCGGAAACAAAGAAGTTTTTCTATATTATAAAACTTTTCAAAATTGTAGAAAATGTAAGTATAATTTAAACACACAATCTAATCTATTTCGTATATCTGCAAATATTAACATTTTGAAATTCTTATATCACTGTGAGTTCCATTTATACCTTATACGTAGTCTGAATATTGTCATACATGTATATTATTAAAAAAATATTTCACTAATTGTCACGCAAAAATAACGTGCAAAAATAATAACTACGTCAAGCTTAGAACATACATACTAGAAGGGCCATAGGTGATCAAAAGTGCTGCAACATCTATCTGTCCTTGTTTGAAAGCTTGTTTGCTGTGCGCTTGCGCGTGATTTGTATGTGAGCTCTGAACGGATTCTCCCACTTTTGTCTTACAATTAGACATACACATGTATGTACGTTTGGAGCTCACATATAAATCACGCGCAAGCGCACAGCAAACAAGCATTCAGACAAGGACAGACAGATGTTGCAGATACTTTTATTACATTGGTTGGCCCTCCTAGTATGTACCATATGTTCTAAGATGTCAAGTCTCTCATGGCTAGACCAGTATGTATGTTCTAAGAATCCTTAAATCTTACTTTGCAAATAATTTTTTATATTTTATAGTGTATATATATATATATAGTATTTATATTATTTTTATATATTATAGTAGTACTTATCACAATTTTTTATTGAAGTTTAATTAAATTTTTTATTAAGTTTTATTGAAGCTTTTTTATTTAAACACATTCTTTGAAATGAGTTTTATTTGATCTAGTTATTCAATATGTCAGAAATATAATTTTTTAATAACATTATGACAAGTATATGTCCAAACAAGATATAAGAAAAAGGTTAAAAGAAACCATGAATGAAATACTTACTAATTTTGTTGGAAGAAGAATGTCTCATGTGTAATACGATCTCCATTGACATTTGGGAACGGAACGAGTAAGTATATATATACACACACAAAACTTTGTTTATTTATCTTATCTCATTAAACGTAAAATTATGTCTCTTAATATGTTTGTACGTATTATCAATTCAGTTTACTATAGTTTTAAAGAACCGGAAAAAACCGAATTTTTCCAATGTTTTTGCGGATCTCTTTTCGGTATTTTTTTCAAAAAGAAAAATTCATTGGAAAAATTCACGCGTAAAACCTGTTATATTTGTTTCTCGGGTATTTTCATAAAAAAAATAAATGGCTGTAAGGTACGGCCGACTGCGAGGTAATTTGGATAAGTTAACAGAAATTTTGAAATTGTATTAAAGATTGAAGTTGCATAGTGTATTCTATCAAACATACAAAACATATACTATTGCCAACGAGAAAATTAAAACGAATCACATAAAGTTTTTAGAATAAAAAGAATTACAACAGTTTTCAAAAACTTATCCTTACTCGCAATTTCTCAGATTTAATAACTACATCTTTATAAACATATTAATTTTTAATCGCTCAAATTACTCTTCTTACTCAGCATCTTCGCTTTCTTTTCTTTTTAACGAATATATATCTATTTCGTTTGAAGTACAAAAAATTTAAAGCCAACGCAAATATAAGATCTGTTTTTTATTCCTGCACTTGACTGCGAGAGGCACTATGCCGCACCATAATAACCACTTGTGCAGTACAATGCGCAATCGTTTACTTAAGCTTTGCCATGTATTAAAGGAAGATTAAATTTTATTATAAAAGTAGAAGGATAACTAAAAACTTTTAATAAAAGTAACGTTACATAATTTCATGGATCGCATTAATTTTATGAAGGAATTTAAAAGTTACGTATTATGTCATTTACATAGCAAAAATAGCAATTCTTCAAAAAAAAAAACAATTTTTCTAAAAAAAAAACGAAAATTTTCCGGTTTTTTCCCCAGCAATTTGAAAAAGTGATTTTTTAAAACTATACAGTTTACATTTAGAAAGATATGAGCCTCTTAGTTGACAAGTGACATAAGTCCAAAATTAGGAAAAATGCGTTTGTTATAAAAGTAGAAAGTATTAAGAATGTTTTTTTTATCTATCAATTTAATTTACTTTTATTTTGTTTTTATGTTCATAAAAAATAAAAATCAGTTTTACATCATAAATAAAAAGAGCTGAACTTAAATCACTATTCCAGCTTTTCTTACGGTCACTTTATTTATGTAAAACTGATTTTTATTTTTTATGAACATAAAAACAAAATAGAAGTAAATTAATTTGATAGATAAACCAAACATTCTTAATACTTTCTACTTCTATAACAAACGTATTTTTCCTAATTTTGGACTTATGTCACTTGTCAATTAAGGTGCTCATATAATGCTTCAATTTTTATTGATACTACAGTCTAATGCATGTATGCATACGTATTTATCAAATGAACGTACGCATACATGCATTAGACTGTAATATTAATAAAAATTCAAGCATTATATTTTTTTCAAAATAAGTAAAACGTAAGACGTACAAGTGTTATTTAAAAATAATAGACAAATGTTTTTAAAAAATTTTGATACATTTTTTCATTTGTCACGTGTTTTTTTACATTTATGTATAGTTTTATCTTCATCTAAAGATTGGATTATAATCATTAAATTATGTACAAGTTTTATGTGTTTATCGACTTTTATCGAAATTAAACAAGTGATATTAAGGAGTTTTTGCAATAACATAAATCCAGATACGGTGAACGCTAAAGTCACGTTATCTTTTTCTTAATTAGTTGTTAAAAAGAAGATAACGTGACCTTAGCGTTCACCGTAACTGGATAGACAAACGGTTTTGCAAAAACTCCTTATTGATTACAATGTACAAATTGTTATAGATTATTACAAACTGCAATGTATTTTTCCATGAATGTACTCAGTTCATAAATTCTTGAAACAAGATATGAAAAATTTACTAACCAAATTTATTGTATCAATATTAATTCATAATATCTGTTATATAGCTTGGGGACGCGTATCAACAGCAAAGGAAACTTCAACTATAATCGCATCCATTGTGCTATTACGTATTTTTATATAAAATCAAAATAAATATCAGGGATATCTCAAGCTATTTTATAAGATATATAGATATATCTGTTGAGGAGAATCTTAATCTATTAATACATTCTCAGAGAGAGAGAGAGAGAGAGAGAGAGAGAGAGAGAGAGAGAGAGAAAGAGAGAGATGCCAGATTTTGAATTAATAATTGAAAAAGGTATATTTCTGTAAAAGAGGCAACGAATTCTAAATACTCATCTAATATGCAAAACTTTATTCCATTGAGAACAGAGGTAGAGAACACATTTTTGTAAATCTCTTTGGCATTCAGTATTAGGCTCTAATAATAGGTCGATTATAAAAAATTTATCACGTAAAAAAGAGATATGTCTTAATTTTCTTTTTTTTATACATATATATCAACTGGACATATGAATTTATGCGATTTGTCTTAAATTTTTAAGACAAATTAGTCCTATTAACTGTAAAAGTAATATTAATCACAATTCTTTTGAATTACACTCTCTGTGAAACGAATAAAAAAAATGTTTTAAATGACAATGATGCCATCACTTATTCACATACGCAGCTGACAGTCTGTATGTGCGATTCAAAAAATGTGATAAATACATAGGTGCAAAATAATTAGCACACGATCGAATGCACTTTTGTAAAGTGCCTCCAGTGAATGTAATAAAATTTATAATAATTGCGATATTAGATAGGAACTACTTTTAAGAGTTATGAAAATTTTAATTGACGGAATAAATTTATTGATAAAACTATAGAATCCATTGCGTGCCTAAAAAATCGATTTTGATAACAATCTCATAGCTTAAATAACTATCACTGAAGCGCATAATTAACTTTTCAAGCATCGCGACGTATCGACTTCCATTGCAAATTACGGTCAGCACAGCGTATCGTGATAGAACGACATATATATTTATAAATATACTATAACAGAACATTATACAAAACAACAAGCGTTTCGGCAGCGGCCACTATTGACTCGATTTCTCTCTTGTAGTGTATATACTAATAACAATATATATATATAACATAAGAGTTAACGTCATTTTAAATATAGCTAATTAACTACTAACGATTATCTTACATTGCCATCGTCTTCTCATTCACGAATATAATAGTAAAAAATTGGCTAGTTTGGTAGATAAAAAGGTACGCATATTCATTGTACATCGTTCATTGATTGACTTTCTTGTGCGCTTTCATTTTCCACCTGCATCAGATGAGGTAGTTCAGCCTTCGTAGCTAACTCCAATGTGTGCATCCATCTGTAAGTTCCATAAACATATAATATTAGTATTATTCACACAATTATTCATACATTTATTTACACAAGATACAAATTATCTGAACAATTTCGATACCCACTTTTCTTTGTCCTCTTGAGAAGACGCTTGGAGATAGTAATATTTTCTCGAATGATGCATCTTGAATGCTCTTATCCGATCTTTCGTATTCAAAGGGTCTTCATCGGGTAATTTTGTACCTTCCGTAACCATAAATCCCGGCATAGGCGTCGCTGTCATGGCCATACTCTCCGACTCGGATTTGAACGAATACAAAACGAAGTCAACGTGCAACGCGAACCATCGTTTTGTCCAAGGCTTACTGGCCTGCGTCTTTAGTAACAGGTATCCAGATAATACTGATGGCGCACTCGCCGATACCTGTAGCAAACTTGGCACTGGACCAGACGGTGACGACGGTGATTTAGTGAGCGGTTGAGTGAGCGCGGCATGACATAATCTGCATACTCTCATATTCTTATTGTCTTCAAATAATAATTTCTGATTTGAGCATTTACTACAAACCACCTGGAAAGAGACGAAATTATCACAGAGATGTTGAAGAATCATCATTATAAAATAATTTGTAACGAGAAATTAATCTTCATAATACTTACTATTCCACAAGCCCGACAATTATGCTTTCGCTTCATCACAGAAAAACTAACTTCGCAAACCATGCATCTAGTTACATCATCAGCTTTAACCAAAGAAGTTTTAACATTCCCAGTTTTCAGACTGGCCTTACGTCTCATGATCTCTTGCATCGTTTGGAATAGTGCATCCAGCCATGCTGCCTTTTCCGCGGCAGCATGTGTATATAACTCGACACTTTTATTTTCATCCCTTATGTAAAAAGTATTTGCGGTTTCTAGATTGTCTCCCTCAACTACTTGTAAATTTTCCACCATAAATTTAGCTCTTAATCGATACATAGGACCGGGTATCAGTCTTATTGAGCACAGTAATAATAAATCACTAAACTGGAAAGAGATAAATAATTTTAATTGATCCATTTTCTAAATATTAACATACTATGTAAAATACTAATTACCAAAAATAAATGTCTCTCCTGATGATCGCCACTACGCGCTGAAATTTTCACTATACGTCCTTCCTTTATTAGTTCGCGAGTCGCACTGACTAGATCAGTTGCATCGTATATACTCTCTTGAATTTCTAAAAGTTTTTTAAATTTATCAATTTTTTTCATTGCTTCGTTTGTATGATTTGCGGCGGTTGATACTAACTCCAGAGCCTCTAAAATTTAACGTTACAAATGCTTTTCAATAAACAATCATAATTCATAAAAATATAGGATACACAATATTTTGGAAAACAAAAAAATATGTATTTTGTAATTTTACTTACTTTTCGTGTCTTCATAATCTGGATTGTCTTCAGTGAGATTTCGTAAATAATCCTTGAGAAGTAGCTCGTATCGCGGCAGCCTCTGTATAGGACTTAACATATGATGTGCTAACGACAATTTGGCGCATTCATCGAGCTTCTGAATTTCGTTAACAATCGCTGCAAATCTGGGAACTTTGTTTTGCAATGTGCTTATCAAATTCATGGCATAATCGAAATTCTTTACATACTCTGTATACATTTTAAGAAATGGCGCAAAGTTCTTCATTATGTCACCGATTCTCGAATTTGAATCCCAACATTGCATTCTCTCTTCAAATTGCGGCAATAGAAAGTCGTTGTGGAATTTATAAATAGATTTGATATTGGAAAACATGTGCTGGACAGTCTCTGGAGGGAACATTGGATGCGCTCTGTTTTCCTGATCGACCCTGAATTGGAACACTTGATCGATCAGATGCAGAATATTCACGTAATTTTTTTCAGTCGCTAGTAACTCTTGTGCTACACGTAACGCCTTCTTTCGTTTCGAATCAGGGGAACCTTTCTTCGCTAACAGTTTAGGCTCTGATATCGATTCTTCCGTATGATCAGCCACTATGGCAGAGTCTGTTTCCGAAGATCTAGTTTCTTCTGACTCTTCTTCACTCTCGGATTCGCTTACCGCGTAGGTATCTAATGTATACTGATGAGACCTCCTTTCTGAAGCTACGTACCTGTGTATGTTTTTAAAGATATAAACTTAAAAAATTGTTTAATCAAAGATACGTAAATTACATTACTCTTTTCATGAGATCTTTACACACCTGCTACTTCTATACTCTAGAACACTATGCGACATTTTAATGTAAGACGTTTCCGTTGAAGTTTCCTCATGCCTCGTGATATCGATGCATTCAGCGGGTGTGGAAGCGGACATGACGAAGGACTGAAATCGCGGAAAGCCACCGAAACTGGCGATCCTGTGGAAGGAATGTCTGACGTATCGTTGCTCCTCAACACCTGTTGCTGTGTCCGAATCTTGTGAGTTCCCATTTTCGTTGGTCGTGCTCTGCTGCTCCGGTGCTTTGGAATGGTGGGCGAGCTGTTTTTCGAACCGAACATTTTGAATCCCTCGGTCATCCGATTACTACCGTCTCCAGGCTCCGGGAACAGACGCGTCATCCAGGATGAGAGGTCCCTCAGCTGACTTCGTTGCATCCTACGGTCAATCATGTTGCTAATTGTAGACAATTATCACGTATCTTGTACATAGGGACAATTAGGGCACGAACAGAAGAAATGATACGGCGAGAACATATGGGACGTGAATGTTACATAAAACTATGCGTAGAATTTAGAAATGAAATAAGTACAAAATTAAAAGAATATATTAACATTACACGGATATGTTTGGCTTTCGTAAAATATTTTACTAATAGCATTACTAATGCTCTATTGGTAAAATATTACGAGCTCTTCAAATAAATCACAAATCGTTGCAAATTACTAAGGACACTTTAATACTGATAGTTTCCTCTTCTTTAACTTTTAACAATAAATATAAAGAAACTTTGTTTACGCGTGTGTTACTCTTATCGCAATGCTGACTCATTAATCTACTCGAAATTTTTTTCTTTATGACGATAAATGACGTCATTAATTCATGTTCATATTGCCATATCACAAATCTATCACGCTTCAAATTCTACGCTGCTTTTTCAGTGTAAACATTACGGAATACGTTTATTTAATGAATATTATGATCTCGACACTAAAATATATATCATATTTTCATGGTGGTTCCGAAATAACGAGTGCGCGATAGATCTCTTTGGGGAGGCTATTTAAAAACGCATCCTCCTCTTAGATCGATCCATTACGCTAAAATTAACGTGCCGGCTCGTTCCAGCGTGCAGGCGAGAACGCTCACGTCGGCATCGCTAATTGGCACTCGGCGTGATTTGAGCAGAACGAACGAACGAATAAACGAACATGCAGACGAACGTGTGCCTGCAAACGAACGTAAAAACACGATTCTCGTAACATACTCGCGCATTAAAAGATACGACAGCGAATTTAATTTTTAATATGCGGAAAGAATTTTTTTTAATTTGTCCTTTTGTGAATAATATAATACATAGACTCGAACGTGTAAATGGAAGTAGAAGTCTCGACTGAACATTGCCTCTTCTGTAACAACCGATGAAATACACGCTTTCAGCACTAAATTTTCAGCTTAGTTTGTCGACGAATATCATTGCTCGACGTGCCTAGACTCGCCGTTTTCTGATGCTGCATCTGCGATGTAAATACAGACGACTATTATTATCTTATATCAACGCATCGGCGTCGTCAGACCGGCAGAATGAATACACGACTATCCTCAAACGATTAATAGGCTGGGATTCACTTTAAAACGATCTCAAACGTGGCTTTCCACTTTGCACTTTACGTCCTGTTTCTAGTCATAGACTGGAGAGAAGTGGAGACTTATCTAAATTTATTTATAACGGTACAGGAGCCCAAGGCGCAAAATCGTCCCCGTGGAGAATGAAGAACGTCGCCTTGAGGTAACACCGAAGTTAGTAATATTAAAGCAACAAAATTATTTATTTTCATTCATCGCTGTTTTAAAAATTAAAATTTTGTACGAAAATAAAATAATAAAATAAATTGAAATAAATATAGTTTTATATCACTTCAAGAACAAATCAAATATAAGTAAATTGCCTATATAAGTTTCCGCACTTGTTAATTGTTTGTGAATATCGTATCTTATAAATATATTATTTATGCGTTAACAACCTAAAAGTTCATATAGACAATTTTTTTATATTTAATATAATAAATCTACAATTTGTATGTTATCGACCTTCGAAAAAAGATACAGATATCTTAAATGAACTTCATATTATATCTTATCTTATATTCACTTGGATTATATAAAATCTTAATTTAGCATTCCCAGTAGAATCTGACATTATCATGCTGATAAATAGATGTAATAATTAATGCATTTTATCTAAAATCAGATTTTACAGTCTCTAGACTACAATTTAGAATATGACTAGCCAGCAGATACATTATAAAAAGTAAATTACTTAAAAAAAACATTTAAAAAGATCCGATAAATTTGTTCTGCTATACTTTTGATTCTCACTATTAGCTTTTAGTTCCTTTCCTCCTTTTTTATATTCAAGGCAATATTGTATTCTAAATACAATAAATAAAGAAAGAATTTTTCGATTTATTGTAAGATAACAAATTTTAAAATTAAAAAAAAGATGATACTCTAAAAATAGAAATTATCTGTTTACATCCAGTGCGCCCGATTAACACGGAATTGATGGGCAAGACAAGTGGCAAATTAATCGTCTACCTTGAACCTTCAATTGAAAAAAATCAAGAAGAATGTGAATCAAAGCGATTTGTTACTCTCGATCAATTTCGCAAGTCGCTTGTCGGAGCGAGATGTTCCGACTCCGAAAATATCGAATACCGTCAGCCAAGGGATAAAGGGATGGCAGGTGTACATGGCTTCGTCATAAGGTACTACGCCCTTCGCCTTCTAGGATCTGGGATCCTGTTGACCGGCGCGAATCTACGTTCGCGATCTGCACTCTCTCCTACGGTTGAAAATGAAACACGGGGCTTACGTCGATGCTGCGCAACGAGGAAAGCGGAAGAGGAGCATATGAGAAGCAAAGAGGAAGACAGAGGGAAAGAAAGAGACAGAGACCGTGCTCAAATGCAATCATTACCTTTTGCCTCGGGATCGCTCGTAGTGTAGCAGAACAGCAACAGGCGCACGCGGATCGGCGCAAGCATAATGATCGTTTAAGCGAAGCGAAGCTTTGATTTAGACCGATATTTCTCTCAAGCTTAATGCTTAATCAATAACGAAATCATCGGCGTCCATGGTCAAACGAACGGCTGATTAGCGAGTTACCGCTGGTTACCGCATCACGACAGTCGACACTGTGTATATATGTACCCGCGTTCGCGGTGATTAACGACGTGACTGACGTGAGGTTGACGTAACGGAGCCGAGCTTGAATGCGCCGGGAGTCGGGACTCGATTAGAGAACAAGTCGCGATGGAAACGCCGAAACGTTGTTTAAAGTTACACCATGCACTTGTCGAACGCCGATGTAAATCTATAATGCCGAGCGATACCAGTGACAGGATACGATGATTTACACGGGTTTGTCTAGGTTCGTCTGTCGGATTCGCGTCGATACTCCACACGATACTCGCCAAGTCGCCACTCGATGGTAGGTCTTCGCGACGCCAACAACGTCGACGATGTTACGCGCAACTGAAAAATCGTTTTGTGATAGCACAGTTCGGTAAGTGAGGAATTTCGTCAATTCTCAGATGATAACATAATAATAGATACCATTCACAGATAATGAAACATGATAGGAAAGGAAAATAATCGAGCATTATATATATATATATTAGGCCGCGGTCCGATTCCCGCTCACAACGCTTAAAAATCATTTCATCCTTGTTGTTTGTCAAATGTTGAACGAAGACGAATAATGCTCATGAGCGTCGTCAGCATGAATCGGACCACGGCCTTAGACATATGTTATACACATTGTATAGTGCGGAGCATTAATTCGCTGGGTCATAGTAGTGGCTGGACTTATCGACGCTGAGTCGGTAACGCTCAAAGCGCGCGCGCGCTTGAAATAAGAAGAATCACTGACAAACTGTGTGGAAATTTATTGCATTTATTTCCTGTTGTGTGTGTGTGTGTGTGTATAAAATTATATATTCCTGCAGAAATGCATGAATTATATCTCCGTTTAAAATTAATTTGTGACATTATTTTCAGCTTCAGTTTAAGCTGCATTTAAGGCCAATAAACAATCGACACGCAGTTTATAGTGCTGAAAAATGTAATTAAAATAAAATTTAATAAATTAAATATTAAGGAATAAAACCTGTTTCGATCAAAGATAGAATTCTTTCTTTCTTATTGGACTTATTCACATCGGGCTAATTTCGATTAATATTAATATGAGAAGTATTCATACAAGTCCCTTAAAATTTTTTGAAAATATACTCGGTATTTTCCATAAATATTATAGATTGCAATAATCCATTCCTTTATCTTTTACATTTCTTTATAAAGATTAAAAGATCTTTAACATTTCTTTCTAAACATATATGTTTATCTCCGTTATGTTATATGTATACTTATTTGTGCAATATATAATTTATAATA